TGTATTAAATAAAGTTAATATTACCGACGTAGATTAACGTCCCTGTAGCTTCTTATTGCACTAAGAAGCTTATTGCACTGTGTGTATATATATATATATATATATATATATATACAGTGCAATAATTCTTTCATGCTAAATGAAGCTCTGTTGCTTGGATATCACTAGATCCTGTTACAGCGTAATATAAAAGTACATAACGATTGATGTGTAAATTAGCATAATTACTAGCTAACCGCTAGCTGCTAACTGCCGCCTCGTTAATATCAAATCTATCATAACAAACATTACCATGCTGTCATGAACGTGCGGTGCTGTTACGTGTACGCAAATTGACGTGCTTGATGTGAACGAGCATTTTGGGGGGCATGGTTAAAGTTGCGCATGCGCTATGAGCGCACATACGGGTACTTCTCAGGCATGCCGGGTAATCTGTGACGTTTCGCTCTCTCAAAAGTTGGGCCATTTTATCATCATGCGCGAATGAGCAACTCTCATAGGAATGAATGAGGCCCCGCCTCCCACGCTGTATCCAGTTCTTATTATACATCCATGGGTGGAGCAGACTCAGGGCCACCACTTGGTAAGATACATTTCACTTTTTAACATATTAGAAATGTACACAACTTAAAATAAAAAATACATGCATGTGCATGAATACGTAAAGAAGTATATTTGATTGTTTAAAGACTTATTGTGTATTTATTAATTAGCTAAAACTATGTTTTTTTGTTCGTTGCCTCCGGGCAACACTGTGCCACTTAGACCACTTTTTTACAGGCAATATCATTCAAGTGTGCTCAGCTGTAACATGATAAACCTAGTCAATGTTTTTACTTTACCATCTACTGATATTTACAGGAAATGGACACCAAAACATGTTATGGGCAGAAGGGACACGATCAGGCTGTTAGGGCTATTCCGTCTGACAGTGAGGACAGTGAAGGTCAAGATAGGGTTAGGTACACAGACACACACGCATAGACACACACACATAGACACACACACATAGACACACACACATAGACACACACACACACACACACACATACACACACACACACACACACACACACACACACACACACACACACACACACACACACACACACACACACACACACACAGAGAAAACCTTTTGAATTCATATAGAGTTGTTTTTTCAATTTCTTCTGAATTGTAGAAATCCTTGGTGTTTCAATACCCTCGTAGCACATTGTTGCCCTGAGGCAACTAACCAACCCCTGGTTGAGGGGTGTGGGGGGGTCACATTTTATAATTGATATAATATCAGGGACCCCTAAGCTCCTAAAACACATGGTGAAACATTTTTTTCCTCCCAAAATAAAAAGTAATGCCATAGAGGGTTAAATCAACATTGTAAATCCTTTTCCAGTATTAACTTATTTTTTATATCACTTGGGCCTCAGCTGTATTTATATTAGTCTATTCTTCTACAGGATATTTCCCTGAGTGGATCCACTGGAACTTCATTTGGGTTCCACTTTGAATAAAATCTGCATAAGATGAAAATGTCAATATGCTCTGGCCTTAGTCTCGGAGTAACCTAAGGAAGAGCTTGATAGGCGTCCATTGACAGACACCTTCTGCTCTCTATTAGTTAGAAAGTTTAAAATCCATAAAACAAGTTGACCGGGCAGTTTAAAATGACATGACAGGCTCTCCACCAGGAGATGCGGCTGCATTGTGTTCAATGCTGAAGAAAAGTCAGCAAACAAAAGCCTAGCGTGGGCTTGTGGCTTTTCAAGGTGTTTGTGGAGGGTGTGCAGTATAAGAAGCTTTGCCTCCTCTACGCCTCTCCCTGCCTGATACGCACATTGGAGAGGATCAAGTTCACCACCTACTGACATCACAAGGCCTTTCACAATCTTCACAAACATTTTCATTACCAATGACGTTAAAGCCACCGGTCTGAAGTCGTTTAGGACTTTAGGATGAGGTTTCTTAGGGATGGGAATTACAGTTGAGGATTTCCACATATCAGGAATTTGGCTATTCTCAAGTGACAGTTGGAAGATATGCTGGAAAACACCAGAGAGTTTGCTAGCACAATACTGGAGTGTACGCCCACAGATATGGTCTGGGCCTGGGGCCTTCCTGTTAGACCCCAAGCCTGTTTTTCAGGTTTCAGGCTTGAAAATGACATGCCCAGAACAAATGACTATAACTTCACTTCTAAAAGGGTTAAATTAATAATCTTTTTTCTCAAAGCAAGGTTACATCTGTGAGTTGGATGAAGACGTGTCAGAATCAATATAGATGTTTCTGTGTCAGAGTGAATTCAGATGGAACATAGTAAAAAAGTGTAAATTCTTACCTCCGCCTAACAAAAAACCATTACTTATAGTGAAAACCACCCTTGAATGATGGGTTAGTAGACTAAAAGCTTTAGGAATCCAAAGTATAACATATAATAAGTACCCTGTATCAAGATTGAGGCAAAACAAGTGAGAATTGATCTTTTTAGAGAGATTTAGGGAAAAAAGGTCCAGGCGGACTAAGCTTTGGGCACATATGGGCACATCTAGTTCCATCAGTGCCATTTGACCTTTTTCAGGTACCAGACTGTAAAAATCATTTTATAACATTGAATCATCACTATAGTTATTCATTCCATAAAAAAAATATATATATATATATATATATTGTAAAATGTAACCTGCTAATTATTGTCATGGATTTGAAAACTGATGTTGTTTATTTGCTATATACTGGCTGCGAGCTCAGTGAATTCTTGCCTGCAGTGATGGGGTGTATACCCATGGAATCTGTGGAATCTCAGCTTTCAGATGATGTGTTGTTTGTGCAGAAAGTATGAATTATAAATGATCATTTTTGTGAGTTATGAGCAGAAATAGCATTAGTCCGTATTTGCTAAGGGCTCATTGAAAGGCTTCTTCTGGGAATTATTATTATTATTTTTGTATTTTTTTTTGTATAGTCAGTTAGCTGAGTTTCTTCCCGTCAGCTGGGTGTGGAACATTAATAGTTTCATAAATGACACTTCAGAGATCACACTGGTGCTAGCAGATGTAGCATTTTCGGACCCTTCGGCGGGTCCGTGGGGTTTAACAGGCTAATATTGACTCGTTTGAAGAGATTCCTAACATCATCCTGTTCAATGACTATGTCTGAGATAGGGGAGAGAGACTCTCTGAGGGTTGAGGTGTTTATGGAGAAATCATTTTTCTCGAATCGAGAATAGAAAATGTTTTCAGCATTGGGGAGGTCTGCCTCATTTGTTCCCTCAATGCTAATAGGATTCCGAGCCCTGTCATTGTTGTTACCCTGGGAGATGGAGGACATTGATTTGATTCCCCTCCAGGCTTCCCGAAGATCTCCACTGCTGGACACTTGTAAGGAAACACTTTGACCGTGTTAATAGGGCGCGGTGTGTGGATAAGAATTGATGACATTTAGTGTACAGCTTTAAAAAACTGGTTATTGCATGTTCCAGTTGTTGGAAGAGATCGAAGCCCGGACATCCTTCTCAACACTTTTAACTTCATGGCTTATTTTCTGCAGCATTACAATTAACTAACAGGTTCAGAAGAAGTGCTGGAGGCAGACAGAGTGCGATGCAAAAGATCCCGGGATTGTATTGATACACAAATGTTGTATTTGCATTTTATAGCCAAAGCCTTCTTGTTGGTTGACCGAGGTGAAGGCTGGTAAACCACCCGAATATTAACATACATGTTACGCTTCCCTTTAATGACTTAGAAAAGGTTATTAACGCCTTTGTTACCTCAAGACTGGACTATTGTAACGCTCTGTATGTGGGTATGGACCAGGCCTCAATTAGACGCCTGCAGCTAGTCCAAAACGCAGCTGCACGTTTGCTGACTGGCCACAAAAAGCGTGACCACATCACCCCTATTCAGGCCTCATTGCACTGGCTTCCAGTTCGGCTCAGAATTGATTTTAAAATCCTTTTATTTGTTTTTAAAGCACTAAATGGGCTGGCTCCGGCCTATATAGCTGAACTCCTCCAGCGCTACACCCCAGCCAGAGCTTTAAGGTCTGCTGACGAGCTGCTGCTGGTAGTGCCCAAGACCAGGCTCAAAACCAGAGGGCACCGAGCCTTCGCAGCAGCTGGCCCGAGGCTCTGGAACACTCTGCCCCTCCATGTGAGGTCGGCCCAGACCCTAGGGGGTTTTAAATCTACTCTTAAAACACACTTCTTCTCGAGCGGAGCACGACTCCTGACTTTTCCTTGTGTTTTATTTTTATTTTTTATATATATCTGATTGTCTTTTATTGTGATTGTAGTAATGTGTTTTTATTACATGTACAGCACTTTGGCTCGACCAAAAATCACTTTTAAATGTGCTTATAAATAAAAATAAAACTTGATTTGACTTACAGGTGTCCATGGTCACTACATTGACCGACACTTGACCTTGTTAGTTTTCCAGCACGTGAGAGGGGAGTTTTTACTCGTAATCGTAACTTCGTACCTCATTAACTTCAGATATTGTGAAGAATAGTTTACCTGAACCTACTAAAGGTGGCCTTTTAGTTTGACATGAACACTCTTAATGTGAGGCCTTGTTTTTTTAACTTGGCCACATGAAGTTACACACACATTCTGATGGAAACACTGATCTGACCGTGTTCACAGCCTCACATTACACTATATTATTAAACTGCACTATACCGTAGGAAAAACACTGTTACGAATAAAGGTTTCTTTTATACTACAGTCAACTATAATGTCATTTTATCCAGTGATGACACTTTCTTGGTGTTTTTGTCACATGAGGCGCCTCAGTTCTGTTCTGTTTTGTCTGGGTTAGTGAGGTTAGCAAGTGTCATGTCTGACGTGGACAGTTGACCTACTTCTTGTTTACTGGCATCATACGTTCCTCTCACTGAACCTTTTTGTTTCTCCATTCTCATGGTTCAGGAATCATGAATGTTTTATAAATGAATCAATTGCTTCTTGGTTAATGGTCTGTCTTTTTGTTTCTCTACAGATGGCTCTTTGTACTGTAGCAACACTTCAGACTGCTACTCTTGGGTGTATGTTGGTGTGTGTTCTTTCATATCTGTTTATAAAAGGAAATGTTGGAAGTCCTGAAGCCAACCCACTTCCCTCACAACATACAAAGAGGTAAAGTATCCAATTGTCTGTGTGTGTGTGTGTGTGTGTGTGTGTGTGTGTGTGTGTGTGTGTGTGGGCGACATGAGGCTGGGTTTCGGTTATCATTGGTTGGCACTATGACTCAATGTCCTGTTCAGGGGTGTAGTGCTATTTGTATAAGTAATGATCGATTGAGACTGAGATGACTTAGACTAAAGTGAACTATCTAAACACTCAGAGTCCTTACGTCACTGAGCTGTAGTTATCAGAGCCTCTCAGTCTGACAGTAGATGTTGTGGAAACAGCTCCTTATATCCGTTAGCATAGCTAGCTAACCAGATGCTAACAACAACAATCCCCGGCACCGGTGCGCTCTCTCTCTCGCTCGCTAGCGCACTCACAGAAAATGCGCTCGTGCCACACACACACACAGCCGAGCTTGAATGACACACAGAGACCCAGAAGTACTTGTACTGTAATGTAGCATATTATTTTCAATGGCGTTATTTTATGATCATATGACAGATGAACAGATCGCCACTGGGCTTTCAACTAAAGACACAGCCACGCAAAAACTGCGGCATGTGTACGGCTCCTTATTGGTACTGCAGTATTTGAAGTGCCAGAGCGGAGTTCCGGTGCGCTCCGGCAGCACTACACCCCTGGTCCTGTTGTCACATGATCTATGACATCACTAATTTAGTTCTCGCCTGTTAATCGCAATAGAGACATGCATGGTTGGCATCTGGACAGCTAATGTTAGATATGTCGAAAAGATTAGACACTTTGTCCCAATTTAGGTCTTCCACGCATTATGCGTATTATTATTATTATGAACTACTTCCCCCTCTTACAGGTTTTACTGTCTGTGAAGGGTTGGAGAGGTGAAAGAGGGAAGGGATGAATGAATAAAGAGAGGTAGGAAGGGAGCGATGAAAAAGGAACGGGTTGAGTTTCAAAGGGATGTCCGTAGAAAGGAA